CCTCTCCCTATTAAAAACAGAGCTATAAAGATATCATATCCCTTTGATCAGCAGTCCCAGCTCTTCCAGCACAATTGCCAACTTTACAGGTAGAGATTTGGTGGGTATTAAATTAGAGAAGGCTAATAAGAGTTTGCATTACTCAAATATTATATTAGAGAAGGCTAATACTCAAATATGTTCACATCAGTGTAATTTATCAAACTTTATCCTAATTATCCTAACCAATCTCAAACTCGTTATGTCATCCTGATCAAGTGATCATAATCTCAACAACTTAATCTTGTCAACTTTAGTTCCCTAACACCCCCTCAAACATATGGGGACAAAGGATTTTCATGTGTTTGACAAAATTGCTCACTTGATGACCTCTCCAAAACCTCATTCCTTCTGTGACAGTGATGATGTGGCCAAGAGATGAACATAGGATGACATGTGGCGAGTAGATATGTTGTCCTACTCCTTCAAGAAAGAGAGAGAGCCCCCATGGACTGTTACTGAAATTGAATCATCATAGGCTAACTAAGGTGGGCCTCAACGGGCCAACAAAAGAACTCAATGGGTCAATCAAAATGTCACCATGGCCGGGCTTCTAGAGCCAATCAAACAACGGGCTAACATGGACCAAACTGAAGATAGCCAAAACAGGCCAAAGAGAGCTCATTGGGTCAAGCAAAGTGCCTTATAGGCAGGGCCTCTGTGGGCCAAAATAACCATGGTTTTTAAAAACGAACCGGTGACCGAATCGGTCAGGGGTCTAGTTACCGGTTTGAACAGTTCGACCGTTCGACCTGAACAGCCGATTCGTTCTAAAAAATAAAAAAATTAAAGAAATTAGAAAACGGTCAAAACCGTTCGAACGATTAATCGGCTGGTTCAGGGATTTGCTGACTAAAACCAACGGTTTTGGGGGAAAACAGAACCGGTCAGGTGACTGGTTCCCGATTTTTTCCAGTCCGACCATCCGGTCCGGTTTTGAAAACCATGAAAATAACAATGCGAATGGACTTCTTGCTTTTATTTGTTTACTTTTTTTCCTTTTTAAATTTCTTAAATTATCCTTATGGTTTAGCTAATTGATTAACTGACCCTTACTGTTTACATATTATCTTAAAGTATCCCTTTTTGACAATTGTCTAAAACCTCCCCTACCATTTGAGAGGGCTTTCATGTAGTAACTTCTCACATTGCAAGGTGGGCCCCACACAGAAAACCATGAAGCCTTGTTTGGTGAAAAAAATGGAAAGCCAAAAATAGGTTTACACGAGCAAAAAGAGTCAGCTTTCCGGTGAAACTATCTTGGGTAATTTCTCTAAGTTTTTCCCTCAGGGGTCCGGTTCTCGGGTCAAACAGTCCGACTGTTCGTACTAGCCAGATGGCCCCAAAAAATAAAAAAAAACAACAAAAAACCGTTGAACGATTCGAACAGTTTAATTGCCTGGGTCAGTAGTTTGTTGACCAAATCAATAGTTTTTGGCCAAATTTACGATTCTAGGGTAAAATGGAGGTGACCAGTTCCCGATTTTTCCCGTCCAGTCCGATTTTGAAAACCATGCCCTCAACGCTGAAACCCTCCCCAACAGGCTCGATATTGAATAAAAGACAAATAATTCAGTTTAGCCATTTGATCTGTCATCAAACAGCCTTTTAAGGTGTTGAGCCCAAGAACGTTCTCAAAAGCATAGGCTGTTGTCCGGTTGTCCCCCAACAAACAAAGTTTTTCCTAATTAAATTGGGTTTTAATTCTGACAAGCACTTTCTGTTAAGGATCTATTTGGTTACCTTGGTTAAAGGGATTTTAGTTCCCCTTGGCCAAATAATCTATATGTTTTTTTTTTCATATTTATGTGGGGCCTATAGAAAAATTATTTTCTTTAGGTATTTCTTACTTGGATAAGTGATAGCCATCTCCCAAATGGATAAATAACTTTTCCATCAAGTGAAAGTTGCCCACACTTAGATGAGACAAAATTGCCCCATTTAATAATAATTATTTTATGACTAAAATGGTTATTATCTTATTTACAGGAAATAAAAGAATATAGGTAAATGCATTATGCATAATTGTATTTACCTATGTAAATAATTTCCCGAAAAGCAAACATGAGTTAAAAGAATTAAAATAAGTGTTTGACAAGTAAATTTTACAAGCCACTCCAGAATTGTAAAATTCTTTGTTTCTACCTTCTATTGATACCAGAAAACAAAAAACAATACTCTCATGAATGAGTGCAGCTTAGGTCAGGGCAAAGCCCGTTCTAACATCCTTTACAACTTTGCATTGAAAATATCTTTGTACTTATGTAATTTTTTTTCATGGGAGATATTGCCAATGCAAGATTACAAGGGGCTGCTCAAATAGTGCCGGCACTGAATTTGTCCTAATAGAAGCCGAACTCCTCATGAACCTCTTTTGTCTTTATTACATACAAATAAACTATCTCCTCATCACCATCTAACCTTTATCCCAACTATATATAAATCCCATTATATGAATGCTGTCTCTTCATTCCGTTTTGTTGAACTCGATAGAGATGGCTGAAAATAACAGTTATGGGCATTCCATGTTATGCTGATTGATAAAAACTCTTCGTGGCCTAAATTAAAGGAGTAAGCCTGAGACCTCTCTTTCCTCCTGAGCTCTCAGCATCTTCTTGCATGGTTTTCTGGATGCTACGAGCCTACAACACAAGGAGTCAATTGACTTGACACGGTGATCATCCAAGTTGCCTAGCAGGACGGAGGACCCACCACCAGTTGCAAGTCATACCATGGTTATCTATATATCTACACAGATGACTCATTTTTGTTCCGTCTTTTACCTCGCCGTTGAATTTTGACTATTGTTTTGGATACAACAGAACAGACCACCCACTGCACTAATGCATAACCAATGCCACTTTTGATTCATGTATCCATCAATTATTTGCAACGCGACAATACTATACCACCACAACCCCTTGTCATAACCTTGCTGCTTGACTATGACTCTTAAGTGGACGCCCACAGTAAACCCATATTTTGGTGTTTGCTTATTATTTTTATTATTAAAGGGGTTTGATTTGGGCACATTCTTGCAAAAGACAGAAGTGCCTCGTGTTTTGTTGGCTTTTATGGTTATATAATGTAAGGCAAGGTTTTTAAAACCGAATTGGACAATGAATCGGTCAGTGGTTCAGTTTCCGGGTCTAACGGTTCAATCATTCAAATCGAATAGACAGTTCATTTTGACAAAAAATGAAAAAAATAATAAAATGATCAAAATCATTGAATGGTTTGACTGTCCGGATCAGTGGTTTGCTGACCAAATCAATGGTTTTTGGCGAAATAATGGTTCTGGGATAAAATAGAATCGATTACTTGACCGATTCCTGATTTTTTTCGGTCCGACCCAGAATCAGACCGTTCTGACCACCAGTTTCTGGATTGACAATTTGACCAATCAGTTCGAATAGATGACAGGTTCCAATTAAAAAAATAAAATAAAATGACAAAAAAATGTTGAACAGATTGAATGGATTGATAGTTTAATTGCTGGGATCAATGGGTCACTGATCAAATCAACTGTTTTTGGCCAAAGACCAGGTTAAAAATAAAATGAAACAAGTTGCCTGAACAATTCCTGTGCCAGACGGTTCGAGAACACTGATACGCCTCGCCTCTTTGTCTTTTCACAGGGTTATACCCCCATTTGAAAATTAAAAAAAGGGGGTGTGCCCAAATCATTTTAATATTTAATTAATAGACTTCGGGTCTTGTAGTTGTTGGAAATTTTACTCCTAATAGTTATTTAATGGGACAAATTTCATTGTCATCTTTGTACTTTTCCTATAATTGCAAAATTCTCTCTTGTACTCTAATTATTTTTATTTGTTTCTAATAGACTCTTCAAAAATTTATTATTTAATTATTAACTATAACTCTATAAGTCATTAGCTGTTATCAAACGGCTTCACGTAATCATTCTTCAGATGTTTGTCGTCTTATTTTACTATTTTTCAACTATTCAGGTTTGTTTTACAAATTAAGTAAAGTTCCAAGAAAATTAGAGATATGATTTATTTTTTTTTAATGAATATCACATTTCAATAAAATAAGTATGTTTTTTATCGAAAGAAAGAAAAAAAATATAAAAGGATAAATTATAAAACCCGCTGGGCATTTTGGTAATCCCGTTAAAAAATCCTTTATTGACATTTTGCATAAAAAGGAAAATCAATGATAATGGAAAGACATAGTACCGAAACAACTTTGATCAATCAAAGCATCTCTTTCATTGGCAACAATATCATGTCTGTAGTCAAACAAAAAATAAAAAAGTACAAATACCTCATTTTTCTATAATGGAGACATTGAAGTTATTAAGATGCCCTTCTTCTTCTTTGTTATAACTTAATTTCTTTATTATGCGTTTGTACTCTTAAAATAATGGGATACATAAAACCCTAATTTTTTTTTGGCTAACCCATAAAACCCTAATTTACAACAGCTTTTTCTACAATGGATAATTTACCAGTTCACCAGAACGGATTTTGTCCGGTTGTTTCTGGTAACAGTGATTCTTGTGTTGAGGAAGCACAGATTTGGTTGAATAACCACAATGCAGGAGATTTGACCACCATGATCTGACCCCCAGTGAACTGGTAAATATATCAAAAAATTTGGTTGAATTGCCGATCAATTATCCATTGTTTTGAGCTGAAAGGTTGTCTCCAGAACTAGAACTTGAGTCGCAAATGAACCCAAAACACCAACTGAAGTCTGAAGAGCCCTTCAACAAAAATCACAAACAAGGTTTTCATTGCCTATTTTCTTCTTTTCCTTCATTTATTATTATTATTTTTTTTTTACATTGAAAGCTTTTCCACCTGAGATGATGAACAACGGAATTTCAATGCATTTAACATCATGATTAAGGATATGAAGTTGATCCACTAGAAAAGAAAAAGAAAAAGAAAAAAGAGGGGAAGGTACATGGGGGTATTTTAGTAAATATACATCCCAAGAAAGTTGCCTAACAACCTTTTGAGAGGGAGGGCAGCCACCCGCGCTGCATCATGATATCTCTTTTTCTTCTACCATAGTTGACCTTAATTTTCAAAGAAGATTCAACGCTTCAACCATTTGAAAGGAGAGCTGGAAGCTTCTCTGTCGTGCTCGTGCTCGTTCTCTCCTCTCTGTCCCTGCCTCATATATACAATTCTCTGCTTGAGGATCTCGGTCTCATTGCAGTCGTGTGTTTATCCTCTCTTACCAGTTTACCACCCTCGCTTATCTGTGTGCGAGTAAAGAGTGAGAGGTGTCGATGAACTGAGCCCGCTTCCTCTGAAGCGTACGTCTTTGCTTCTTTCTTTACATTCATCAAACTACAGTTCACACAGTTATTGTTTCATTTGCAGCAGAAAAGATGAAGTTCGGGAAGGAATTCATCTCCCAAATGGTCCCAGAGTGGCAAGAAGCCTACATGGACTACAATTATCTCAAAACCCTATTAAAAGAGCTCCACCGTTTCAAGCAAAGAACCAAGCCTCCGGCGAATGCCCCAGGTGGCTTAAAGCGAAGGCTCACAATGTACAGAGCCTTCAGCGGTCTAACGCAAACATACACCAACCTCAAGAGCCCCACCCAAGGAGACATCGAAGATCAAGTGATTCATGTGAAGTCGGTGCAGAAAGAGGGCTCAGAGCGATGCTACGAGACCACTTTCCTCATGTCCTCCGACGAAGGAGGTGAGTACGAGCTCGTCTACTTCAGGAGGCTTGATGACGAATTGAACAAGGTGAACAAGTTTTACAGGTCGAAGGTGGAGGAGGTGATGAAGGAAGCTGACATGTTGAATAAACAAATGGATGCATTGATAGCATTCCGGATTAAGGTTGACAACCCCACGGGATTAATCGATGGGTCAGCCGAGATGACTCGTCTAGCTTCGGATGTTGCCGCCTCTGCAGCTGCGGTGATGGCCTCTGTTCCCTCCGACGTTAGAGGCAGCAGTAAGTGTCCCACAAACGGGCTCAGTTCAGTTCCCGTTTGTTTAAGATGAAACCGACTCGCTTGTCAAAATGCAAAAAACCAAGAGCGTTTGTGTCTTTTCAACATGGGTTGTTTGGTCATTGTATGCAGGAAAGCACATGGATGTGATAGAAGAAGTTGAGCTTAGCAGCAGAAGTGGCTCGGAAGACTCGAGTGAGGACAGAGACATCCATGACACCAGACCTGTCAATAGTACTACAAGTGTTGTTGATGTAATGAAGCCAAACAAAATGATGGCCAACAGACCAGCTCCATTAGAAATCCTTAACCGTGTGAAAATCAACAACACGCTTGAAACCCCACGCTCCACCATTAAGGGCTTCCTCAAAGTTTCCCAAAACACAGAGTCCAGTTTCAGAAAAGAGGAGCTGAGGAAAGTTGAAGGACAATTGAAGCGGGCGTTCGCGGAGTTCTATCGGAAGCTTCGGCTTCTAAAGAGCTACAGGTAACAAATGCTAGATGGAGATGAAACAAGCGTATTTTCATAGATTTGTGCCTGTTACTGATATTCTCAATTATATTATGAATGAACCAGCTTTTTGAATCTTTTGGCGTTCTCCAAAATCATGAAGAAATACGACAAGGTCGGTTTCCCAATTACAACCCAGATTTTTGTTTGCATTCTAATGAAGCTCTGTTTCACTCTTACCAAAAAAAAAAAAAAAAAAAAAAGAAGCTCTGTTTCACTTGTAGCCAACGTAACCTCTGTCTCAATTCTCTTTACAAATTGTTGCAGATTTCTTCACGACGTGCATCAAGAGACTACCTCAACATGGTGGACAGCTCCTACCTTGGCAACTCCGATGAGGTGAGGCTCAATTATATAGTCTAACATGACCACAATTATCTGGAAGCGTTATATTCCACCAACTTGATTAATTTGGTTTTGGATTGACCTCTACAGATCACTAGGCTCATGGAGAGGGTTGAGGCTACATTCATCAAGCATTTCTCAAATTCAAATCGAAGTAAAGGAATTAGAATCTTGAGACCCAAAGCAAAGAAAGAAAGGCATAGAGTAACATTTTCCATGGGTAAGATTTCAAGTTTTGTCCAGTGTCATTAGAACCTACAACTTAGGATAATGGATTTGTTAGAGATTGAACCTCTGATTCTCTTATTAAAAACTAATAGAACAACAATGAATTATATAAAAAAAGGAACAAAACCTTTGTAGACATGCTTCTAGCTAGACTTCATCATTTAATGCTTAATTTTCACTTTTCTGCTTCTGCTATCTATCAGGTTTCTTTGCTGGTTGCACAGCAGCTCTACTAGTGGCCCTTATTTTGATAATACGTGCCCGAAATATACTAGATAAGGAAGGGAGCACCCAGTATATGGAAAATATGTTTCCACTTTACAGGTAAACTAGGGATTCCTTGAAGCTTTTCAACATTGTAGTTAACTTAAATTTTGAAATGAACTTGTGTGCAACTCAGTCAATTCCTATCTGTTCATTTGATGCTATTAGGTCTGCCGAGTACCAACATAAGTCACTTATATCTAACAGACTTCTAGTGTTAATAGTAAATTATCAAATATTGCAGCAAATTGGCAGTTTGCACTAGACTCAATTTCTTTCCTTTTTTTTTGTTGGGCTAGATGCAGACTGAGCTTGAGCATCTGATAATTAATCACCTTGGCTCTCTGTATAATTATTAACCTACAATTTTTTGCAGCTTGTTTGGATTCATTGTCTTACACGTGATCATGTATGCTGCCAATATATACTTTTGGAGGCGCTACCGAGTCAATTATCCATTTATATTTGGTTTCAAGCAAGGAACAGAGTTGGGCTACCGTGAGGTCTTCTTCATCAGTGCTGTTCTTGGGGCACTTGCACTTGGGAGTGTTCTCTCAAATCTGGACATGGAAATGGACCCCAAAACTAAAGACTATAAGGCTTTCACTGAACTGATCCCTCTGGGGTTAATCATTGTATGATTCTTAGGCTCAATCACCTTCTCTGCTTTTCCATGTCACGGGAGGCATATATTTGACTGGTAATCTCTCTTCTGTGTGTAGCTTATTCTTGCCATAACATTTTGTCCATTCAACATCTTATATCGTTCAAGCCGCTACTTCCTTCTGCAATGTGTATTCCATTGTCTTTGTGCTCCTCTCTATAAGGTACATGATCAATAGAACTTTTACCCAAAATCATACAGAAATTATGTTGAGAAGGTCCTTAACTTACTTCTTTCACTACTTTACAGGTCACTCTTCCAGACTTTTTCTTGGCAGACCAGATAACTAGCCAGGTTTCCTTTCATTGCTGATTCTACTTAATTAAAAGTCAGATTATATGTCATTTAGTCTGCTTGGAACAGAAAGTACTTATTATTGTTCTACTTCAGGTCCAATCCATCAGAAGCCTGGAGTTCTATATTTGCTACTATGGTTGGGGAGACTACAAACACAGAAGTCACACTTGTAAAAGCAGTGATGTATACAACACTTTCTATTTCATTGTAGCAGTGATTCCATATTGGTCCCGTTTTCTTCAGGTAGGTTAATACTTTACTTTCCTTTTAATTAAGTGAAGCTCTGCAGTCCCTATGAACCATTATGGAGTCAAGATAATTTCATATATGCTGTAGTGCCTTCGACGTTTGTATGAAGAAAAAGACATAATGCAAGGATATAATGGGCTGAAATACTTCTCAACAATCGCGGCGGTCAGCATGAGGACAGCTTACGGTCTGGACAAGGGAAAGGGTTGGTGGGCGATGGCCTGGATCACATCATCCATTGCAGCAATCAGTAGCACATACTGGGACATAGTTGTTGACTGGGGCCTTCTGCAACCTAACTCCAAGAACCGTTGGTTGAGAGACAAGCTTCTCATCCCTCACAGAAGTGTGTATTTCGGAGGCATGGTAAGTAAGAAAGAAACCTGATGTGCAATTAACTAGTTGTGTCACTCATCTTCTCTGCTAATAAGTTGTTGAAGTTAATTTTGTGAAAATTGCATGCAGGTCTTGAATGTGCTGCTGAGATTTGCCTGGTTGCAAACTGTGTTGAATTTTAAGGTGTCGTTCCTACATAGAGAAGCCTTAATTGCTATAGTAGCAAGCCTGGAGATCATTCGTCGTGGCATTTGGAATTTCTTCAGGTATGCTCTTCAAATTAACTACAGCCTAATCCGGTCTACCTGAGGTCATCATAGTAAACTCCATGTGGTTTGTGTAAGCAACTGAGTTGAGTCAGTACTGAACTCTGAGTTCTATCAGGTTTAGTATTTTGGGTTGGGGATCACAACAGCACTTGCGACTTGCGAGTTCCGACCCCCTAATCAAACAAGACACGAGTCACACGACGATACAGAACCAAGATTAGTCAATAAAGAGATTAAGAGAACCAAGATTAAGTCCCTGTGTGTATGTTTATCACACTTCTAGGTGTTAAACGGGCAGCCTCAGCCTCAGCCAGGGGCAGGCCAAAGCCTAAGATTTTGTTATTCGAACCCAGTACAAGGAGTACGATTTTAGTCAGGGTAAAGCCCGTTCGAGCAGCTTTTACAGCCTTGTATCGAGAGTTCTCCGTACTTATGTGCTTTGTTGAGCCTACTTTACCCACCTAACATTGCAGTCACACACACACATAAGAAGATTTCATCTGGTATATAGTATTATGTAGGGATAGATGTTTCCAATTTATGGGGATAATGTGTTGTGGATAGATATGGGCAGAGTTCTTGTGGGCAGATCCGGGGTCATTTAAAGAATCTTTCCATGAAAGGTTGCAAAAGATGGTTGGAACGGTGGGGCACAGGCTTGCTCCAACGGAAGTTGATCTCCAATACAAGGCTCGATCAATATAAATATTGGGAAAATCTATGATACGGAAAAGATATGATATAGAAAGAGTTTTGATCAATCAAAATCCACCCATGAATTTTAATAAATGACATCTGATTCGCTACCACTTTTATAATCCAATTTATTGGTCAGTTGTTTTTCTGATATCATATCTTTTTCAAATCATACTGGAACCCATAAATATTTCATCAAACATAATATGTAGGGCATGTATATATGCTATAATGTATATATAAACAATTAATAATGTTGTTTCGATTAAAATTTTAATTTTTCAAAACATAAACAATATTGTTTCAGGCAGGACAGGATCCCAGACATATATACCAGGTCTGGGGCTGGGGGTGTAGGCTAGGCCAGGCTAGGGAAGGCTTCAAGGTTGTTAATATCCTGTAAAAACCCAGCCCGGCCCGGCCCATTATCATCCCTATTACTGGGCCAATCACGATAAGCGACAATGTTAAGCGCAAGATAAAATAAAAGTAAAAAAAAAAGTGCATCCAAACTCACTTTCGTTCAGTTTAGTCTGTAAGGGAAAAAAATTTTAGTTATATATAATAAACTTTCGGTTATATATATATACGTTAATAGTGTTTGGTTCTTTTGGAGACTACATAAATGGTAGATATTAATTTCTAAATGCGTTAATATCATTATTATTATTATTTTTTTTTGCTGATGAGAACGTGACTGTCAATGGATCAGGCTGGAGAATGAGCATTTGAACAATGTCGGAAAATACCGTGCATTCAAGACTGTTCCTCTCCCTTTCAACTACGAGGAAGAAGAAGACGACGACGACGACGAAAATAAAGATGAGTAAACCGACGTCAAAACAGGAAAGAAAAAAAAATTTTTGAGAAGATGATAGAGATCATATCGAAGAAACGGAACAAGAAGCAGCAAAACGTACTATCTAATTAGTCATGATCAAGGAGCAAATGCATCCTCATACAATACAGCAGAGTTGCAGTTGATATGGTGCCCGCTTTTGAGAGTTTTTTTTTTTTTTTTTTTTTTCACGCGCTCATAAAGACAAAAATATGCTTATATGAGCTGAGAAATCAACTTTCCTCTGAAACTATTTTTGGTCAACGCAATTCAATCGATCGATGCTGAAATCTCCCCAAATGGGACTGTATTTCTTCATGGGTTGGGCACGGGAATACGGAGACTGTAAATTTATTGTTTTAATAGCTAAGGCAATATTAGTCAGCAATATATATATTTTTTCTCTTTTATTGATTTATTATATTCAATTAATTCATTTTTGCTCCTTACATTCTTGCACCAAATAAGTGCCATTTTTGTACTAATTCTCTAATTAGGGAGATTTTCTTTTTTGCTCTTGGGAGGCAAACCTTGAGGAATGAATTATTATGAATCCATGTCCAAGGGTTGCTTTTGCTTTTGAGGATGGAGCCTTCTTCCACTCCACCTTGGTCCATTTCCACCTATCTTACTGATTGCAAGAAGCTTCTCTCTTCTAATTCAGGCTTGATACAACCTGTTGGCAGATCTTTCAATCAGGTTGCTCATCAACTTACTTAATTGGACATATTTGTATTTATACTCCTTCCAAACTGAGTACAAGATTCAAAGTACCAAATATACACTAGAACATGTAATCTGATCCATACATTTTTTTAAATCTTTTTGTGTTTGGTATAAGTATGTTAAAGTAATATATTTGAAATTTTTTAAATCCACCTAATTAATTCTAGATGTCACACAGCAACCTTGAAAATCAATACCTATCCTACGATATATATTGCAATATTTTGAACCATGGATCAAACTAATGGATTGGAGCTTTCGAGAACACCATAAATAAAGGATTAATAGAAAATATTATAATTCAGACCAAGTAAAACTAAAAAAAAAAAAAACTGATGGAGGTAGATTTGGCCCGACCCCCTTGGCTGTGCGACACGTGGAAGCAACTGGGTATGACCTGGCAGGAGCGTCAGCTTGGCACAACGACAACCATATCCCGAGAAGAGGCCCAAGCTCCCCAAGGAGAGGCCCTGAGCTCCTCAAAAAAAGGAACCCATGCTTCTTTGAAGATAGAACCCAAGGTTCCCCTAGAAACCTCGACCCACCTCGGGTCAGTCTGGGCCACACCCCGACACCTCGGGTCAGTCCGGGCCACACTCCTATCCGAAAAGACTTCACCTTGGGCACCACCCCGGCATTTCGGCTCCAGGTCGCATGACTGAATCCGTATCTGACAGAAGTCCGTACTCTGAGGCAACGCGCTTGACTGTCAGGGATTTGACAAATGACAACCGCACTCCAACGGCCACCTGCTACCGCCATCTCAGTTGTTGCAGAGACGGCCCTGACAGAGAAGACAGTGGCGGTTATACTTGTCCCCCACAGAGGCGGTTACACCTGCTTTGGCAGAGGCCTAGGAGTGAGTGCCTCAGGGTGGTTATAAAAGGCCCTCTTCCCCCTAGAGTAAAGGTAAGTGATACTTGTGCCTTCTGGTCTCAGAATCTCTCATCCTCCTAGCCTTCTCAAAAGTACTAACTTGAGCATCAGAGCATTCCCACCGGGTTCCTCCCCCGAGAATCTCTTGCTTCCTCCCTGTTTCAAACATCTTCTACTCCGTCAGAGACAAGGTCACCGGCAGCTAGGACCGACTGAATCGTGCATCATCAAAAACTATTACCAAATCAAAGAAGATGGCCATATATATAAAACTAACCTCTTGCATATTTTTAACGTGGAAGTGCCACTTTCAAGGTTAAACTTTTGTTCTCTCACCTAACCTTACAGATAATTAATCCCAAAGCTTGCATGTTGGATGGTTTAAATGCTAGGAACGGGTCAAGAAAACTAATGATATGGGTCATTGAGAACCGGCTTAATTATTAGAATTACACTCTCCAATTTTAAGACAAACTTTAGTGACACAATTCTACTCCATGGGTCTTTGTATGGCTGGGTCAAGCTATCTACATTAAGAGGAAAAACAGTTAATCATAAATATATATACATCAGGGTTGTTGAATTGTTAGTTTTTAGGGTAGGTAATTAATTCTTAAATGGATTTGTCTATCATGACAGTCACTAGGCATACTAGCTCCCATAGTATTCTCAGTCTTATTAGAGTTGATCAATGGAGGATCACAGAATATCATTTTAAAAACCCTGCTGCTCCTTGTATTTCAATTGTAGTCACTGTCATATTAGATTCTTCTTTCTAAAATAGTATCTTAAATTCAAGTGGAGTAGAAAAGTTTCACTAACGACCTAGTCTACGGCATGTCTTAGGGTCTGTTTGGTTCGTAGTTGGAATCGGAATCGAAATCCTCTTAGTTGGAATCGGAATCGAAATCCTCCAAAATCAAAATCAGAATGGTCCATTCCTATAGTCTGTTTGGTTTAGACAAGAATGAGAATGGGAATTAAAATCAGCGGGAATGGAATTTCATTCCCAAGGGAGGGGCAAGGAATGGCCATTCCCTCAAATGGGGGAATGTCATTCCAGCAGGAATGGGAATGGGATTCTGATTCCGCCCAACCAAACAATTGGAATCAGAATAGCCCATTCCGATTCTGATTCTAGACCTCTATTCCTGCAAACCAAAAGGACCCTTAGTTGTACATCGAAAACATCTTCCATACTTGTATTTATTATTCATAAGGAGATATTTTCAATACATAGTGAGATATAACTGTGAGACCGGTATGAAAGGCCTCTTTGAGAAGAACAAATCCCAATTAATATAATTTATCTGTCTTAAGCTGTGTGTTTAAATTAGGCAAAAGCAAGAAAAGGAAAGGCAAGATATATTCCATCAGTTGTCTCCAAAGAAACGAAAAGAAGATTTTCAGTTTTTTTTCCATGCATTTTTAGTTATGTAAATGGAATCGTTCAATCCATATCTCTGCAATGCAAATGAAGTCTTTATGGTCTCTCATTTCCTTTCCCCGGATTTTCTACTTGGGGCTATAAGTGGATGGATTTAACAAAAGAAGTATATATAACTTAATAAGAATTTAATACTAATATATTAGACAAGTAGCGGCAGGTCGAAACCGGTTTCATAAGTAGGTGTATATTTTAGGTAATATTTATGGTACATTCTATGAAAATGAAAAAAATAAATCAATAATAAGGTGATGCGTCAGACTGACATCTTTTATGTTGTTAAAGTTTTTAATTGTAAATACACTTTGTTTAAGGTAAACCTATGAAAATACTAAATAAATTAATTGAAATTTTGATGTAATGTACAATAAATATTCCAAATGCATTGTAATTGGACTCATATTTTTTGGGTAGGCAGTGGATCTCAAATATATATGTCTATTACTATTTATTGTTCAACTTCTCTTTCAACAACTTCCCTTATATTTTCCGTTACATTTATACCCTTTTGAAGTTGCATTATTCCATTTACCCCTCCTAGGTCTTAAATCTTATTGTTAGTTCTCTTTGTGCTTCTCAATTTACTGTATCAGGCCCATTAATTCTACAACCTGAATGGATACCCACCCATAACTACCGGTTTGTTGCACAAAGCTTAAAATTGAAGCGTTGAGCTTTTGAGCTTTGGAAGCACAAATCCCCGCTTTTCCAAAAAAAACTATGGTAATCTAATGTACTATATATGTCAACATTATTGATACAAATAAAATAAAACCAAACCAAACCAAAAATTTACAAGTAAATGATGGCAAAAAAATACTCAATAACCACTATATCACATTGTTTATTCTCAAAACTTTATAAACTAGTCCTTGATTTCACCAAACAAGATTAGAGAGATAGTTCTGATTAAAAAACTAGGTTTTTAATACTGATCCTACACATAATGGGTCCAGTTTTACCTACATATATGATGCTGCACAATTTGGCTGCTCCTAGTTGGAGGTGATTCAGCTTCCAGTAGACGTTGGACGTAGAGAATCTGCACAGAAAGAAATTGTTTCTGTGTTATCTAGAGATAATGCTATCAGTTGATAAGGTTAATCGCTTCCGCCCGAATCGAACGGGGAGATAATGCTTAGCTGTTACGAGGCGTGATCCCGCAAAATTCGGTGAACCGTTGGAGTGACTTTTGGGATTGTATCGAGGACAGATCGGTATACCCAAGCTGGTTTCTATCTCGAACTGATGTTCTCGAGCTAAGGGTCGTACACCGAACTGAATTATGTATTGGTGTTGCGACCTGGTACCAAGGTGCCCTTAGCTCGAGATGATCTTACCTCGAAGAACCTTAGTTCGGGGTGGTGGAGTATTACTTTGTAACGAGCTGGCTATTATGAGTTGTCACCTATGTCGAGTCACGTCCACATGTCCCCTTATTACGAGAACGGGCCAAATCACCCTCCATCAATATCTATCTCCAATGTTGTAAGTTTCAGCAAAAATACATCATAACCATGTGGAAAAATAGCAGTAATGTCTTTAACTTTTATTTTTATATTAAAGTTTCTGATCTGTAATGGAACAAAGGAAAATCACAAATCCATATCTTCAAATCTACTTGATCATGGCTTATGTGTTCCCGGTGGTCCACAGCCATGTGTTTGATCTAAACGATCCCTTCCATCTGATGAGTTCGGCTTTGGTCAGTGCAAATCCATGCTCGTACCGTTCAAATAGTCTCTTGCAACTTTGCATTGGGATTATCTTGCCATAAAGTATGGAGATATTCCCAATGCAAGGCTGTAAAGGCTGTTTGAATGGGCTTTGGACTGACTGAACCTGATTTGCCATCTGATAGCTAGAGTGAACCCAACAGCCAAAAAGAGTCCATCCCATATATACTTTATGGGTGATAAATAGGAGATGCCATGCATCCTAGTACAATCCCGGCCCCTCTCCCTGATAGTTGCATGCAATGGAGGGTTATTAGCTCTAATAAAGCATGAACAGGGGTGTTAATGGATTGGTTTTAGGTTGAATCCCGTCCAAATCAAAGTCAATTTGGACAGATTAATGCATGGACCAATAAGACATATTGAATTGGATCAGTTCAGACTTAATTGTCCAAAATATTTATTGGATTGAATTGGACCTGATCAATAATAGATTGGATCTGCTTGAACCAATATCCAACCCATTGATAGTAGATAAGAATACATGTACCAATGGACCAGATTTGGGTTGGAACCAATTTGAACAGATTGGATGGTTCATACATTGAATTGGACTGGTTCAAATTGATCCAAAATATCCATTAAATTGAATCGAACCTGGTCTATCTGTAATAAACTCATATTA